ATTGGCTTAGTCTGTTCCAGGCAGCAGTGGTCAAGCTGAACAGTGAAAAGTCTGTGCCAGTTCTTTTCTGGCATTTGGATTTCATCAACTGTCAGACCCTGTAAAAGGAATAATCTCCCAATTGAAGACAGTTTGTGGTGGAATATGGTGATGGGGCAATTGTTCAAACAGCTTCATTYGTCTTTCGGAGCCAGAGTTTTCTACTGTCAAAGTCATTGATTATCAGCTCAGCCAGTGTAGGAGGGCTTTTTTCCCCCTCCAAGCTACAGGACATTGAGTTCCATAATTGTTTACAGTCAAATGCCTATGCAATAGTTAATTGCCTTCTGTAAGCTGCTTGGCGAGTGGAGCAAGAGGAATGGCTTGATGAGTAGAGCTGGTGTCCAAAACACAGTGGAGCTCACAGCAATAGGATCCCTGCTGATAAGAAACAAACACGACTGCTTCTGTGTCATTGTTTTTTTGGCTGCATCAGACAAGTTCAGGGAAAGTTATTGTCTCCTAGCAGGCGGTGTAATGGGCAAGTGCAATGCGCTAGTTCACCAGCCTTTCATCTCCAAACCCAAGCACAAATCTGGCACCAGTCACACTTCAAAAATGACTTTAGTACATCCCCATTTACGCTCATTTCTATGCCACRATGGCTGGCACAGACAGGAGAAATTTGCTTCAGGTTGCCACCAGGGTACCTGAAAAGTGGTTTGAAATAACTACATGCTGAAGGCCAGGACTGAGATATATAATGAGGGGACAATGTGYGAAGAGGCAATGACTAGACTAAGACAGAGTACACAAAGCAAGTCTTAAGTGTAAAAAAGAAGATATACACACGGGTCCAGCCCTGGTGCAGAAGATAGAGGTATAAATCAGGACTGAAGTATAACATTATCCCTCCAATAACACTCTCAGAAGATGCAGACTCTATTACAGCTTGCTCAGAGGAAAACAAAACAAAAAAACAAAAAACAAAAAACAAAAAAAAAAATAAACAAACAACCTCACAACATTCTTAATTGCAAACAAACAAATAAACGGAAGATTGCTCTCTCCTTTTTACCATAACACAGAGCTGTTCAGTCCTTCAAGGCATGTATTTGAAGATCAGGGGATTAGCTATATTATCATGGGCCCGGAAAACTGAGTTTTTTCATGCTTGCTTCTTTTGAAGAATTCTGTAATTTAAAAAGACGTTAAGGAAGAAAGAAAACAAAACAAATTAAAGAAAATTTAGGTGCAAAACGAGTCCTAAGGTACTCTGTAATGACAAGTTAATACACKCATGTAGCTAATATGATGACACAATTTCAGGAGTAAAAGGTATTTAAAGATATTACATCTCTTGCTGGTGCTTAGATAGATAATAGAGCCACATTTTTCAAATACTTGAACATGTTCTTAGCATTAAGTAATTTGGCAGTTCAATTATTTTTTTCAAAAATACCATTATTTAGTCCCATAGCTTTAAGCATATTCCTAGTTTCATTACAGTGTTAAGTAAACTCAGAGTAGTAATGACCGGAAGTTAAGCAAGATATTATGCCTTTTCAGAAACAAAGTTTCACCATTTTACTCATCATTGAACTCACTTTATAAAATAAAATAAGAATAATTTAAAAAATCTGATCTTTGATAAATCAATAGAACTATTGATTTAGTTAGTATGAGTTAGAAATAAAAAGTTTCACATACATTAAAATATACATCTGTTTAACTTATTTCTGAATATTTAAGATTTTTAAATGTGTTTTCTGAAAAGGAAAATAAAAATAAATATGAAGTTTGACATTTATGAAAGACTGTGTTGGCCAATTAATTCATTACATCATATTCTACTTTTAGAAGAGAAAAAATGATAGTGATCACTATCAAAGTGGTAGTGAAAAGATAGAAACCTCCAGATAGAAACCTGTTCAACGAATCCAGTCATTCAGTATGAAGAAAACTGGGAAATAAATGCAGGAATAAATTCATTTGAAAATGAATTAAGTGCTCAAAAGGAACTTAAATGACTTGAGGCAAAATTCTGTTGCCTAAACATGGATGACTAATCTTTAATCCCTTCTTCAACAGTAGCTAGAAGAAGGTAGGATAAGCTACAGCATTTTAAATTAGAGAGCTACATTTAGGCAACAGATCACATCCTTAGGACCAAGACTTTGAAGTGATTTAGGTGCCAATGTCTATGTTAAAATCAAAAGGAATAAGGAACCCCAGAGTTTTTAAACGTTAAGCTAGAACTACATTTCATAATTTTCCATTTATTTAATAAAAAAAGTATGTGCTATGTAAACAGAGTGAAAATTTGAAAGCCAGAATTTTAGCAAAATTTTCATCTTTTTCGTTTTTGCTCAGGAGTATTTTTCTCACCTACCTTAATAAACTTATACTAAAAAATCTGGATTAATTTCAAAAACATTCTATATACCCTACCGTCTTTTTTTTCTTCCACAGCACCTCTATTTTGTAGTCAAAAGTAATAGTGCATAGGTTGCTTGTTTTATCTAATTAAATATTTTGAGCTGCAAGTCATTATTATAGTGATTTATAGCAGCTACTCTAATGCCAATCTCAATATAGTATTTTTCTTATTACTTAACTGTTCTAGTTATGCTTTAGCCATTAGTTTCTTAGTTCTGAAAACAGGAAACAGTAGTTTTCTATTACAGATGCTTGGCTAATTAGTTCAGAGTCTGTCTAATGGAGATTATTAAATATGCAAATAAGGAATGATCAAATAGTGCAAAGCTTTGTCCTGACAGAATATACTAATATATTTCTGTCAAAATATTCTGTCAAAAATTTAACTTGAGGAGTGCCAAACCTTATCCACAACTAAAATTAACTAGTATTAATTCACTTTGGACAACATTACAGACACAGGAACCTGTGTAGATTCCAAGATGCTAATCATCTTAGAGAGGAAGCTTCCTAGAATTTGTGTGTTACAGATTGTCCTGTGAGGGGCTGGCTAGATRATCAGCAAGATTTCATGGCTATATATTCCAGTTTTCCTTAAGGGAAAATGAATTTATATTTATAAATCAGAAACAAAACACTAAAGAAGCAGTGAAAGAAGCAGGAAATGGAATAGCCTCAATTGCATTAGCACTGGTCTGAAAACCAAAGCACAAAGTAGTTAATAGAGATGTTGAGAGTCAGAGGTGGCCCAGAGCTGGTCAGAGCCTTAGTATTACTTTGAGGCTGCACTTATTTTTCCCTTTTCTCACCTTTTCAATCTCATCTTTGCCGCCCAGCTCATCTAGATCTTCTTGTTCTTATTCCATTACTACAATGTGTTTTTAGTGACTCCTATGCTATTTTTAGGATAGCAGATTTGACACCTTTTCTACCTCTTCCTTCCTGCTCTGCTCTAAGAAAATCCCAGACTAGGGTCTAAATGCTCTGTGACCCTTCATTTGTTCCTCATTCTTGTTCTCTCTGATCAGACAGTCTTATTGATTTCCTCCTCCCATGGCTACGGTGGGACTGTCATTTGCATGGCTGTCATACAGTGAAACCCCAGGGCCAAATTCCAGGCCCATTAACAAGCTGCCTTGTCCTATTTAAAAAAGGTGTTTGGTGTCCTGACTGTTTTAAATAGGCCTCTTGCTGGTTGTAGCTCCAGTTGGAAGTGTCTCTATCTATGCTGATTAGACCCTAGACTGAACATTTGCTAAGGAGGTCCAAGACAAACTTCTTTATGCACAGGGTAAGTCATGCATAAGATTGGCTCCCAAAGGCAACAGTACAATCAGCAATAGTTTATACACAAGTTAAACAAACACTCAGAGGGGAAAAGGCTTTACAGAGTATAAACAYGAGCAGATAACCAGGCTCATGACCTCCTTTCCATGTAAAATGCTTCTCTTCAGTTGTGGTCATGAGCTAAGTGACTTTGCCTTCAAGACTCTTCCTTGGGCAGAAGTCCCTCTGGAATACTTTGATAATTTCTATTGAAACAAAAGGAATGGGATCTGGTGGATTTGGGTGGAAGGGTCTGTAATGAGCAAGCTGTTCCCTCTAGAGATCACAAATCCTTTTCTGACTTCAAAAAGGCATATGGTGACTTTAACAGGGGACATGATCTGCATTCATTTAATAGTGTTCAGYATACCATCATCTTTCTCTCAACCCATCCCCCTGCCTCGTTAAAGTTCTCCTCTATTTACATTTCTATATGTGTATACACACGTACAAAGAAGCGTGCAGAATAATGCTATATTCTCTTCCAATTAGTTCAGAAAGGACACAGTTCAGAGCAAGCACAAAGGAAACTCTAACCCTCACTGCCCATATATGCCATCTTCTGGGTTACCCCAAGAAGAGAAGCTTTTGCTTTCTCTGCTTTTAGTCACAAGCCCCAGTGGGGAGAGGAGAAAACTTCTGCAACAAAAGTTTAATCTGCACTGGCATATCTCCACGAAAAGTTGCAGTTTTGATGATTCATCATTTTCACACACACACACACAAAACACATTGTGTTGAAAGATTTCTGACCAGCCCTAGTAATGAATCCATCTGCTGCAGTCAGCGAACACAATTACGAGACAAATCACCCATCTTCAACAGTAAAGCTGAGAATAGAACCCCTTTTTTTTTCAGCTTTAAAAAAAAAAAGAAGAAGAAGAAAAGGCACAGACTGCTATCTTTTGATCTAAAGGAGCTTTCTACTATCCTCTATTAGTAGATCACTTATTCTACTCTCCTAGGCATGGCCCAGCTGCCAGAGACAGACATGATCTTATACCCACACACAGATGCACAGAGAGAAAGAGAGAGAGGGAATCTGTGTATGTCCTTTGCCTACTCTGTGATCATTAAAAATCTGATAACACTTCTATAGGAGAATGAAGGTTAGACCCCACCTGCTAGTCATTCTGCCCAGGTATCAGCTAAACATTGTCTTCTTTATTCTCAGTAGTAAGGCTATGTAGCTGTTACATACCTGCTGTGCTCTGCACAAGAGACGGCTGCATATGAATGGGCAGAGAATTGCTCTTCCTTTGTGCCTGGCCTACCTTACAATGCATCAGTGTGAAAGCCCATTGCTTCTAAAAAATGATAAGAAAGTAAAAAATGTTATTGAAAGATCAAACCTGAGGCCAGATTTTGCCTGAAGACTAAACGGCTTTATGAGCAAAACACTGAGGTTCAGGTAATCGATGTTCAATGTCCATTTCTACCTCAGATTTCTTTCAGCCCACTGGGGACACCATTTAATTTAGCTGTTTGCTGTAAAACAAAGATTGTGCTCATTCTGCCTCTACCCTCCAGCCTTTCCCTAGTCTTCTCTACTTACACTGTAAGATCTTCAAGTCAGGGAATTTAATGTGTTTGTACAGCACCTCACACATGGGGACCTGTCTCCCACCCTGGGCCTCTACACATTGCAAAAACCACACAGCAGCAGCTTGGAAATGAGAGATTAAACACAGAAGTTAACATTGCTTTCACCAGCATAGATAGAGTTAACCCCTTCCAATACTCTTTTCCTTTTGTCCCAGAAATACAGATGTGCCATTGTGTCAGATCTGACATTTTTGGATAATATGGGAACCAGGAAAAATAGCAACAGAAATAATCATGGGGTAGGTACCACCTGCCTGGACTTCTCCATGGGAATGAGTGATCTGACAATTATAGACTTCAGGTGCCTTGAGAATCATCTTTCCAAACTGCTGCCAGAGGGGGAAAAGACTAGTTCTGATCAGATATCTAGACAGCTTTGAAGTTATTTTTGTCCCTGACACCTAATAGTGGGCTATTGGTAATTACAGGAAAAACATAACATGAAAAAAAAAAAAAAAGTGGGATGTCTTTTCTATTTCTTCCCCCATCTACTCAGATCCACAGAAATGCTATCCCTTGAAGCATATCCCTTAATCCTATCCCGTGAAGTGCCACTTTAAGGAAACTTATTGTTACTTGAAATGAAAAGACGACTGTCGTGTGAGATACTATTATTATTTCTTATTTAATGTTTTTATATAATTGACGTAATATCATTTTAAACTGCTCTAGAAGGCTACTACTACAATGTCTGAAGAAAATAACCATTTTATAAAACAATGCAGTGGTCTTAGAGTGGGTAGGTAGATATATCTGCTGCTAGAGAGGTGGGAATTCAAAAGTGGAAGTCAGAAACATAAAGGAGAAGTAGAAGGGGATCTAAAACAAAGGAAAAAGGGAGGAAAAAACAGGAGCTGGGGAGGGCAGCAAAGAAGGGAGAACAGAACAGTTCATGTCATCCACATGAATATGGGATGTCTGACACAAACCTATCTACACAATACCTAAACACTTTATTTCATTTAGTAATAGGGCTTGATGCAGCCTAGAAAGAGGCGATTTAAGAGCCCCAGTGGCTCCATTTGCCTATTCAAGCTAACTGGAACTGCAGCAATCGTCTGGATTCCTTGTTGGACAGCACAGGGAGGAGGAGACTGCCTAATGACAGCAAAGAAAAATCAGGACTTCTACTATTTTATTAAACTGTCAGGACTGATCAATAAAAATTACAGGTATCCTAAATCTGTTGGCATCTCTGGAAGTGCTAGAGTAGAGGCAGCRAGAGGGCAAATACAAGTTTGAGAGAGCAGGTTTAGGCATCAGAGAAGGGCCATGTTGCTGAAGATTCTCTGCTGATCTCCTTGACTTCAGTGGGAAAAATAAGCCCTTGGGGGGGRAAAAAAAAAAAGTCTTTTGATCAGAAGCTTTATACAGAATGATGAAAAGGAAGAGCAGAGGGACAGAACAGACTAACAAAGAGGATAAGGAAAAGATGTGTAGAGGAAGCCTGAGGAAGATGACTAGGAGGCTGCAGAAGTTGGCAGTGGAGAGACTAGCTCTGAAGTTAGTGGGTTCCAAAAGGAAACCTTGTCTCTGGCCTGATTCATTGCAGAGATGCTGCAGTTATATGCTGAGCTGTCTGGCATTGTTTTGAACTATCCGAGAAATCAGTGGCATTCAGGGCAAATTATATCTAATTTACTGTACAAATTGCCGAACTATTGGACCTAGAAAATGTGTTTATTAAAAAAACAAAGGAATAGGCATGGGTCACATCTTTGTGGCACCAGATAATCAGACAGAGACTAAACCCACTAATATGGACAAATTGCTTTTGATTTTTCATGCTGGAAAGGTAACCAATAAGGGCTCCTTCATCTCAGCTTTCACTAGCCTGAACTACAAGTGGCCCAGAAAAGGGTGCTTGCCCATTCCAGTGCTATTGATTTATTTGGGAATGCCAGTCATTGACACACACTCATGATTGAAACAGTGAATATTTCTATCAATTTGTAACTTTTCATGCTTCATAGCAATCAACAAGTAACTACAGGGAACTGGTWTTTAGCTGGACGCACTATGTGAAATATCTACAACTCTTCAGGAAGTTCTTCTTTCACCTTGCAATGTCAAAAGCCAAGAAGCCTTGATGTGATGGAGGTAAAAGGGAAGATGGTAAGAGACTTTCTGGAATTTATAGAAGGGTCTGAGGGTGGAACTGACACCAAAAAATGCAAAGCTGGGGAAAGCAGATTGGTTGTTACCCACATAATCTATCTCCTTTCTTTTTTGAAAGGGACAGTAAATAGGTCAGTTTGATAGGTCATCTATCATTCTAAGTCATCTATTTTTGGAAATTGAAATGCCAACAAATACCTCTTACCACTATCAAAAACACCTGACTTCCTGCTGAGGGCAAGTGGAACGCTTGAGCCTAGGAAGTGCACAGATTACACTTTTCTTTTTTTGTCTTCAGGGAGGGAAAGGAAAAGCTCAACAATTTTTATTTGTTGTCATTTTGTTAATATATGTAGAGGAAAATCTGCTTGGGCAGTTTTTTTTTTTCAGGAAATAATCAAATTTTGATTAGTGAACTAATKAGTCATTCTGAATTTGTCTACATATGTGCAGAGTTTTAAGTTAGATCTAAACAATTACAGCATAGGAAAGACACAACACATGCTAACAAAGCTCGATTTTAATGGTACTCAAAATGACGTATTTAGAATTAACTCTATGATACASACTGAACCCAGTCATTCATACAAACTTTGATTTGTCAGAAGGGAAACTATAAAGGACTCATCCATTCTGACTCTTTCTGTCCTAATATCCAAGTGGAAAGTGCTCCCATGCTCCACATCAATCAATTAATTGTACCTTGGTTATAGACTTAGACTCAGTTTCATATTGGCCTACACAGGCTTGTTAAGACTTAATCTTATCCAGATTCTTGTACCATTAATAACACATCTTTCTTTGTGTGTCTAAGAAACCTGTCACACTGCAAGGCCCCAGTTTTTTAATGCTACTTTTCTATCCATGAATTGTACTTTTCAGATAAAATTAGTAAGTGCTGGACAATGGGATTTGGAATTTTACTTTTTGAATGGAAAGAATATTTTTCTGAAAAGACTGAAGACTCTTAATGGATAATTTAAAAAAAAAAAAGAAGGGGGAGAAACATCCAAAGCAAATCTGAAAAGCTGTATCTTTAATGAAACAAAGGAAAAGAGAGTGATTTTTTTTTTTAAGTTTAATCCCATCCCCCCACTGCCATTATCTTGTTATAATTGGACAAACTTGCAACCTGAAATCCTCTCTAGAATGGTGCCAAATAATTATGTAGATCACTATATAATTACGTACATTCAATGTTCTCCTCAAAAGCCTGATTTATTCAGAATTGTAAAGCCTATGCTYTTGATTTGATTCTAAAGGTCTTTGTCCCCACTTATGTATTAGYTGCCATCTTGGCTGACACTATGCCTTGGACTAGATATAGGCAAGGTGCAAGTGTGAACTGTTAAAACTTGAGCTGAAGGTMCAGGGTGCTTTTGTTAGGGCTGTAAAAGACTCAGAGCACCTGCAGACTGAGTGCAGAAGGAGGCGAGGAGCACACAATGCACTACGAGTCCTCTCAACAAGAAATTTGCTAAAGTGTGGCTTAACACACAAGTGGTAGTTACAGATCCGTCTGGTTTACACAGATGTAAGAAAAAGACAAAATTTATTTCAGAAGATCAGAAATGTTCATATCAACCCCATTTTGCTATTTTTTACAGTCACAGTTTGTAGGGCATTTTCTTCTCCCAGATATTATTTGAAGAATTTAAATACCTTGTGCAAATTTTTAAACTAGAAGTCAAASGTGAATAGACACGTAAAATCTATCTGCGATTTTGATGCAAATGATGTGTAATCAGTAAATGTGCCACTTCTGTGAAAATATGAATAACCTTTCCGAAGTTTTATGGTCAACTTTTTAAAGCAATAATGTTCACTTACTTGCATGTGTGTTCTGATGAGATCCAGATATTCAGTAATTCTTTGGTTAACTTCTGTTGGAAGTTTGGGACTTGTATATTAAATAGACAGCAAGAGACAGTCTGCAAATGAGTAAAATTTTTAACTTCACATTCATTATGCAGTTTCTGAAATGTCTGCATAGCAGAAAAGTGAGATTCATGCAAACCTTTCTCATCCAGAGACATCAAGGAAAACTTTTCTTTGACAGAAGGGTTGCAGGTTGAGCTCCTGAGGAAAGATGGAAAGCATCATCATATAGAGGTCGATAACCTATAAGGAAAGTGAAGATGGGCACAAAATTGAGGAATGTAAATTGAGAATAAATAAAATTCAAAATGTGAGATTTATCTCCATCATAATCATCTTTGAGATATTTCTATAAAAGAGATGGTAGAATATTATTTTAATGAATGCATCTTCAATTTAAAATCTAACTGGACAATGAATTTGAAAAAAATGTTTTGATAATATCTTGAATTTTAAAAATACTCTTTTTTTTTAAGGAAAAAGGGAATATTTTCCATGTGAGAAAAGCTTCTAAACTTGTTTTTTTTATAGCACAGTGTTCTTATTATACATTTTGATCTCTCACAGAACTTTGAGCACTGAAGTGACCTGTGAAAGCTGACTCAAGAATTTTCTCTCTACTGGAGTTCATTGTGGTCACTGTTTGAAATGCTACTCTGATATGAGCTACTCTGATAACTGAATGCTGGAACACATGTTGGCCTCAGAAAAGAATACTTTGAAGAGAGGCATGTCCCAGCATAGTCCCCTTTGCCTGACACTCATGTAAGGAATGTCTATGGTTCACTATTGCTATTATATTCCTGAGACATGCAAAAATCTGTTTCTTGCAGTATTTATCAATAACTTTTGATAGCCTTGTCCCTTAAAAGACTCCATCTTGTTCAAAAAGGCAATGACCTGGTCTTGATCAAACATGATAATTATATAGAGTGATACTACATAAATGAGAATGATACTCATCAATGCTTCAGAAAATGTCTTGTGTATTCTAGAGCACATCTGTTTAGAAACATGAGCTGCCTTACAGCCGGCTTTCTGTAGTACGTTTAGTTGTATACAGATAAAACTTAAGGTTTCAGATGTTATCTTCAAGGCACACAATTTTCTGTCTACACTAGTAAATTCAGGAACAGGATACAGGACTTGAGAGCTATTGCAAAACTGTGCAGCCTGCTTGGTTCTTAGCCTGCTCACTGACAAGGTTTTAGCTTAAATGATCTACTATTCTTCCAGACAGTTTCTGTCATAMAACTTGTTACATACATTGCACCCCTACAGAATAAGACAATGAAGAAGATCAATTTTATTTGAAGTTCTTCTGGAAGGCTCTTAGATAAAGCTATCATAGCAATGATATAAGATAGTAAAGTGAACAGAAACAAAAACAGTATCCTGGGTTAGAAGGGCTTCTAGTTTGCTTTGGAATGAAACTTCTTACRCTTAGAGGCAATATTTACTAGACTAGGAGTTAAACTAGGATTCTTTCTTACCTTCCTCTCTCATGTAATTCACAAAGTTTTATTGGTATGCAGAACTTGAATTAAGTAGAAATTAGGTATCATTTCCACAGCGTATCTGCAGATGTGGTTCTCAGTGACAATAATATTATAACTAATGTACTAGCAAACTGTACAAGACCTAGCCATGATGCTTTTTATTTTCCAGGTGTCTGAACTCAGCTTAATTCATAAATCATGAAGGTTGGACTCTGGAGGGTTCCTTGGGAACTCTGTCATGTAATGATGCTTGACAAGGTTAATTTTCCTTTTTAAAGACCCACATCTTAGTAAACCTGTAACGTTGAAATTCGCATACTATCTGATGTTAATTATGAGAAAGAAAACTGAGGCCATGCTTGGATGTGGTATCTATCAGGAGTCTAACTGTGGACCTCCAGAATTTTCTGCATGTCTTCTTTAGACACACTAACTGTGAGCATTTTATAGAACCATGAGGCTTAGAATGAGGACATCAAATACACTGATTCAGTGGTATTTGTGAGTAAATGAATAAAACTAGCTATGACTCTGTGTGTCTTTGCCTGGATACACAGATGAAATACCATAAAACATAGYTGAAGGTGCTTCACCATCAACTAAAGACAATAACAGAAGTATTCCCTTGGTTTGACTATGACACCACTGGAAGAGAATAAGGCTCATGCTGTCCAACTCTGTAAGTGACTGTTGTTAAGATCATCTTGCTGTGCAGTATGTCCTACCAATACACACTGGTGCTCTCAGTCAGCCCTTGGCATCCAGAATGCTCTACGGAACAAGGTGTAGTGTGGTCACAGGCTGAAAACTAGGGCACATTGTCCCAGCAAGCAGCAGTTTTTCAGCAACATCCTTGGAAAAATTATCATCCTGGATAAGATCAAGGGGTCCTCTTTCTTGACAACTGGTCTCTGAAAGTAACTAGTAGAAGGAGTGTAGATGGAAAGAGTATAAAAGATGGGGCAGCTACAGAATTATTCCTTTACTGTTATTAGCCTTTCAACTTCTATTGTTCTSACAAATTTCCCAAGTTGATGGATTTAATAGCTGCTAATGGCTCTGTCCTCAACAAATTTGTTTAATCCTTTTTGAGCTTTGGCTACCACAGCATCTTGTGGCAATGCATTTCACACACTAATGATAAGCTTCTTTTTATTTGGTTTCAGTCTGCTTCATAATTATTTCATTGGCTCATTCAGAACTACTGAATCATTTTTTCCCAGTTGCCTACTTAGTATTATTCACATCCTCCCTTCATCCCTTCTTTTGCTCTTTTACCTGTCAGGCAAATAAATAAAATTAAAAATATCTTTATATACAGCAACATATTCAAATGTTATTTAGGATTCCAAACTAGTTATACATTGTCCTTTGTCACATTCCAGCATAGCTGAGTATTGATTACAACACTATAACCCAAATGGTCCATATCATCACTTCTTTTTAAGACTGCCTTTTATCAAGGAAACTTGAGTTTAGAAAAACAACCCTTCTCCATCCTATCATGCTGTCTCCCTCCCATTAYGGATACTCTAATTTCATTTATGGACAGTGTCTAATGAGAATGACAGCTAGAAAGTTTAGCCTTAAAAAAGAAATAAGTCTTATTTTGACTACAACAATCTAGTGGSAGGCCAGAGGTCTTTATTTTGTTTTAACTGTAAGAGATTTTATAATCTCCATCCTTGCAGATACTCAAAATTCTAACAGGCAAGACCCTGAGTAACCCGCTTTAACTGGATTAACTTTGTACAGGATATGTGAGTAAATGACCTGCAGAAGTTGCTTCCCTGTTATATGTCATTTTAGGATGAWGTGTATCTTCTTGATGCAACAGTCAAGCCATATATTAAGTCCATCTAGTCTTATGTAACAGCAGGTGGTGATGCTTTCTTACAGTTGAATATGAGTTGATATAATGCACAATAGATTGATTCTTATATAAAAAAGAAAAGAATCAAGATGAACTCTCCTCCTCTTATATCTGGGAGAAGTATAAAAAAGGACAATGAAAATTTAGCACGGATTTTCAAAAAAACAAACAAAAAAATCCCACAAAACCCACAAACTAATAAGCAAAGATGTGATTAAAGGAAAACATTGCAAAAAGCAGAAAAAGTAACCCAAAGGAGAGCTGCATAGTGAATGATTTTATTGCAGAAACACAGAATCACAGAATGGTTGAGGTTGGAAGGGACTTCTAGAGATCACCTAGTCCAAGGAACATGTTGGGAAGAATGGATGGGATCGAATAGTTAAAGAGAATATTTTCAGTTAATAACTCATCTTAAAGGGATAAGAATAAAAGGAATATAATAATAATAATCCAATATTTAAATTTAATTTGTTTTATTAACAGAATAAAATGTTCCTCAAACAGAGTAGAGAGTGTGGGTGAAGGGACAATGGTGATTCATGGATTTCCTCATACTTCGTGATTTTTCCAAAGTATATTTAGTATGTTAGAAAGATATTAAAGTTCCTGAATTTTAAAATGTTGTACAAACAAATGAATAAATCAAACAAAAAAAAAATGCAAACTGCTTCTATGTTCAGCTAGAATTGCTACTTGAAGCATTCCTTCTTTTCTCCTTTTTCTCCCTTATTAATACTGTAAAATATAATTTGATTCCATGAGATTGGAGATTTTTCTATGGTTTGTGGTGTCCATATTGATGAAATGCTCTGGTGCTAGTGAGCAACATCATATATCCTTGCACATAGGTATCCATTTCTGTTCATGCAAACATTTTTGGCCATAACACTGATAATCATTCATAACCTCTTAAGAGAGAAAGTAACCTGAAGAATAGCTTTCCCTCCTATATTCAAGCCTCTTGTGTTACAAACAATTACATATATATCCTATACAAAAGAGTTATGTGAGAATAGCTAGTATTACTTGATAGCTGCCAACCTTTTGGAGGAATCTAATGAGGAAAAAATGGAATAATACAAAGAAGAATTTTCAGGTATAATTCTGCTCCTTTCATAAGCACCTGGGGATTTTAAACCTTCAAAAAGAAGGCACGCAGATGGCCTCATTAGAAATCTAGCACATGTTCTAAATGTTTTTTTTTTGGTTTTGTTCCTTCGTATATCAGAGTAGTACTTATACCATTCCTTCATATATTGCTATTACCTCAGTAATCTTTTAGATCCTGGAAACTTTTAATAAAGTCATACAAGGCTCACAGTTTAAAAGCAATAACTGACAATTATCCACTTAGGGGGTTAGAAAATTGCCTTGAGAATGTAAAGTACACTACCAATCATATCTTTGTTATTTAATGGAGAGCTATGGTAATTTAGTTGGTGTGACTGTCATGTAATGGGCCACGGTAAATTCACTTGAGAAAAGAAGATCACGGGCAGGATATATACCACCACAAGGGCTCTGAGGGTCCTAAATTTATATTTTCCTGTAATGCTAAAGAGGTTTTTCAACTCATTTTCCATTCTGAAGCCTAAATTCTCCAAACTGAATAAACCATCACTCATAAATTCACTGTGACAAACAAGGAGGCGAGTGTATGTACATGAAATATAG